TTGGAAGTTTTGAAATGCCTAAATGGAAAGAAAGTAAAGTGAAAAACAATACATATCCTTTCTATGTATTAACTGTGTCATAATTAAATAAAGAACAAAGTTAATAACAGTGATTTAGATTTTTGTTTTAAAGAACTGAACTAATTGTTTTTCATTGTGAAATTTAACTAGATAGTGAGTGAACCATCTTGTTTCCTTTTGCCAATTGGGCAGGAGGTACGGATCGGGTACTGACCAGACTTATCGTCCACTGGCAGAGTTTATTGAAGGACCAATGAGCAGACAGCAAGCACAATTCATGTCACAATAAAAAACAATTCATTCAGTTATTAAAAACAAAAGTCTAAACAATTATCCTTTTAACATGTGATTTTAATTGAATTATGACACAGTAAATGCACCCGTAAAAAGCAACTATATGTAACAATATTTGTTGTTTTTCACTTTATATATCCTTGATCTGTTTCTGTTTATGTCACTCCCAATGGTTAGCTGGTGGTAACAGCAAGTGTGGTTTATAACCCCCTAACAGGCAAACACTCCTTGAGGGCCCAGCTAATTTGTCCAGAAATGCGACGAGAAAAAGGGGCTGGTGTATCGTGTTACGGAGTGGCAAGGCTACAAGAAAACGCCTGTTTTTAATAAAGAAGCTGTTTGCCCGCACCAAACAGCAAGCAACAGTCAACACAGTTGTTACCAACAGTAACAAGTTGAAAAACAAGTTGTCCCTAACCAATCCACGCGACTGGCAATGTAAGAAGTGTTCTTGATGAGTGATTGCTGTCAGCCACTCCAGCTGACCTCTCTGACAACACTTGTTGTTTCCTGTGAGTGTTTAGCCAACTGAAATCACCCCTGTCCGACTTTTATTTATTGCAGAAATCCTGATCCTATGAGCACACGCCGGCAGCTGGAAATTATCGAGGAATTTTAAAAGCAGCTGTGTTTTCCTGAAAAGTAGCCCAATGAAACGTTCGGGACTGGCTCCAGCCAAGCAATGACCTACTACCCCAGAACCCTGAGTTTCCACACCCTTTGCACATTAGCAAGGACGGAGACGACGTACGCATCACCCATAGACGGGTAATCGTATATTCTTTTATGCAGCAGATACACAAAAAATGGACATGAATACATACAAACATCAGTATGTGTCTTCTGTTTATGATGCAGAAAAAGGCAGACCCCACCAACACTGCAGATGACAGTGGGGAGAGTTGTCAGTGTGGGGCGTTCAGGGAGGTGAACAATTCCCCCCTGCCCACTCAATGGAAGCCCAAAGAAACCCGTAACGAGACTGAGCCTTCTTTATATGTGAGATTCAAGGACACCCTGACGCTGGTTTCAGCAAGCTTAACAGATAAATCTTTTATTTATCCTTCAGCCATCTACACAATACAAATAGGCACCACAAGTACCAACTTAGTTTTTGTTGAGATTGTAGCAGGATAAAGGTGGGTCATAACACCGCAAAAAAAGCCCTCCAGAAATAATCTATTTGACGCCGTCTCTGGTGGAGATTGTGTAAAATTGCATGTTTTAATAGCAGCTGTTGTCATTTGTTTTCCAGATAAAATATGGTCGACAAGACGGTGAGCTAGGGCCTCCATCTTTATTAGCATCAAGATCTTTCTGATACTGCGCATTCTGGCTGATACCCTGTGTCAGTCGCTGTCTGGTAAGTACCACTAAGTTGGACTGGGATTTAGTCCAGTCAGCTGTTGTCCGGCTCTCTGATATATACACCCCCGTGAATCTGTATTCTTTGGCATGCCCAAATGCCCAATCAAAGACTGTTTGTGTGAAACTGAACTAGAATGCGATTTTGACTTTTTGGAATGAACAATTTATGGATCTGAGTTCTGTTTGTCCTTCCTGTTCAGTTAAAACTAAATAACTGTTTGTCTTTCTCAGTGTTGGTGATTAATCTGTCGATGGCAAAAGAGGCTCACCTGCTGAGATGACAAGATCTGACCATTTAGGTCAACAGCCTGGAAAACTTTGGCCAACTCCTTTATCCAGATGGACATAATGGCCCTCAGGGTTCATTTTGCCTGCACTGAGACCCAACTTGTTCACCCCTCGCCAGCCTGGAGTAAAAGTTCTCCTCGTTTGGTCCTCAAATAATTATGTAAAAAATCTTAAGCATCAGCAGTGAGTGTATAGAGCGACCTTCTGCGCAGTGTTTAGTTCTGAGAATTGTACAGTATCGCTGCAAGTATCTCTTAACGTTGTCCTCAGTTATTGTATCTTATTACGACTTACTGTTTGTTATGTTCCATTATACTTTTTATTGGTCCGCCTCCTCTGTTAGCTGTTAACCCTACGACTTCCTGTGTGTTTGTTCATTTCATTGTTGTATAATGAACATAGAAGTAGCACGTGTGTTTCTGCCAGTTGCAGCCGTTAGAGCGCGTTGGTAAGTGGAGTTTTTGTTACCAGCAGCAACCAAGGTTATCTGTGTCTGTTTCCAAATTCTTTATGCTCAAGCTAAGCTAACAGGCTGCTTGGCTGTTGGCTTCAATGTTCACCCTACAGAGCTTGAGAAATGTAGCATTAGGGCCAATGTAAGTCTTTCCTATTTATCCCGGGTGTGAGGGACAATTGATATAAAGTATCTAGATTTTTATGGTCCAGATGTATATCGAGTGAAATTTACGTTTTGTAATAAAAGGTCCTTTTTTTCTAACTGAGTGAAAGTGTCCAACACAGCGTTTGGATCCTTTTCTAATGAGCAGCAGCAGGCCAGCTCTGGCCCAAAGACCGAACGTGGTGAAAACTGCAGCCCGGTTATATACATCGAAAAGCCACTGGCTGAATTTAGGCTGAAGCCACGCTAGCCAAAGAGCCCTGCAGGCCGAGACTGAGTGGCTGTTGCCAGTATCTCACACACCCCATTTGGCAGAATATTCTGGGAACAGCCACGGGACCCCTTAGCAGGAGAGAAGAGCCTTTCACCATAAGCCTACCATAAGTCGCACCGCTTCGCTTCATCCAGCACAGTGTGTATGGCTGATGAATAGCTTCATATCTCCTCACATGTGTCCGTGTTTCGATATTAGAACTCTTCACCAAACTTGTTGTTAAGATTCCTGTAATTCAGAAGTCTCATCGTTTTTATCGTTCATCCCAAATTTATTTTAAATGACAAAATGTATATTCTTCCAAATTCATTTGAGTAGTTTTATTTTTTGTTCCAGTTTCAGCTTCTTGTTCCTTTACCTTTTGTCCAATGACTGGAGAAAGAAATGATTTTCCCTCTACAAATACTGCCGTTTCGCCCCACCACCCGGAACAGAAGAGGCTGGTGATGACTTTATTTATTACTTAATATCACCAAATTACTTAATGTAGGTTGTCACTCTCTGAGGAAGAGGTGTGTTAAAACCACATATGGTGGCTGGGTTTATGTAGAAGTTGTTCCAGGGGCCAATGCGATGGAGTGCTCTTTGAGATAGAAATTAGCGAATAGGCTGTCAGGCAGCAGGAACACCGGGATCGCATTCAGGGGACTGTAGCCAAAACTCACGGTATACGTAGGCTCCCAGCCACTTTGGTGCTTTGTGGCTGAGACCTAATTCAACTGTGCCTCTGGTAAGACAATCATGTTGTCAGTAACGGCTGTTTAGTACCATTCAGTAGTAATGCTGTGATGTTTTAGGTTTAGGGGTGGGCAAGCAACTCTGATGTATTTTAATAATAACACTGGCGTGGGTCCTGCATAACTTTTACTGCGTACGTAGAAAAGCTGAAAAAGAAATGACTTCAGCCAAGGTGCCAGAGATCAATGTTTTCAATTTACGGCTTTACTTTCCAGTCTTTAGGCTCACAGAAAAGTGGAGAGGTGCTCTGTTTTCTTTACACAGCGTCAGCCAGCACACTGACTGGCAATTTATTCAAGTATTAATATAATCATCTAGCTCCATGTTTATGTTGGTTATCTGTTTGTGTGTAGAATTGATTTTGTGATACGTTCAGGGTTTTTAATCTCCCTTCTCTCTGTCTTCCAGTGCTGGAGGCTGCCTGTGGCCTCCAACGTCACTGGGTGTGTTGGCGGTGCCTGGGAGTTGACTACCTTTAGATGGTCCGTATGGTTTGTGGTGGCCATTTTTATTTGTGTGGTCTGTTTGATTTGAATTTGCTGCAATCTTTGTCTTATGCGCGTACTCCTAACGAGGTTATATACTCACGCTCAAAGGCGGGTACACCTCCAAAGGTTCTGCCCAATGACATACTAATTACAGGTTCTGTTCCAATCTTAGTGTAGCAGAGCCCGTTTTCCAGTGGACGCCCAACCATGGACCAAGCAGCAGCATCTGACTCTGTTTTTTGACCTGAAATGGCCAACAGACACCTTTAAATTAGTATCAGGTAACACCTGTGTTTACGCTTACCCCTGTTTCAACTACTGGTTGAAATGTTAGTTTGGTGGGTCCATAACCTTGCACTCTTTACTTACATGGAGCTGAGCCCAGCTGGAAGTGTTTGAAAGATGGACGGGGTTAAGAAATATGCAAAACACGGATGGGTCATCTGTTTAGGGCCTTAAAGCATTACCCAGTTTGCTTTGCTGACTGTTTGTTGAGCTTGCGATGTCTCCAGTACAACTGTCCATCTATGGCTTGTCAGTCAGATAGTGTGCCTTTCATTAGTTTTGGCGGCCAAGTACGCCTCAGTGTGTGGGGACTTGGCTTGAGCTAGCCGAGGGTTGCCCCGGTTCAAGACCCCACACCAAACACCAAATATGGAATTGTGGACTTGTAGCTGCGAGAGGTGGCAAGTTTCAGCCTCCTGTGGCCAGGTGAAAGAACAATTTCCTTAGGGGATTAATATAGTATAGTCTTTTCTAGCTGGGAGAGTGAGCTGATGTAGTGGTGTTGTTTTCGCAAATGACAACCTAAGAAGAACCTTCTCAAAAGCTGAACAGCCTAAGATGTCTCCCAGGAGTCACTGGATAACTCATCTTTAGCCTCTGTACTGCGTAGTTTGAACATGTACAACGAGCATGATCAGTTGGAAATGCTGCTCCAACCCTGATAATGTTGGTGTGGAGGGTCAGTGGAATTCCCTCGTGCTTTCACCACGAAGATACAAACGAAGTAACTGAAAGCCGCATTACTATCTCGTGTAGAAGATCATCAATATCAACCCCACTTCACACCCATGGTACGGTCCAATGTCCAATTTGTGAGGGAGAGTAGGGAGACAGACCTGTCATCGCTCCTGGATGTTTCTGTTCAGGAGCCAGCACCCACACAACCAGGCACTGCATGCAGGTTCTGTGGTTATTGCCTAAAAACTGTATAGACTTTGTTTTAAACCATGGCTTAAAGTGCGGAAACACATGTGAGAACGAATGAAAAGCGGCGTCTGTTAGATTTTTCGCTTTAAGGCTCCCGTTCCCCACCCCTTCCAGCCACTCCCTCCTTTCAACCAGAGCGCAAAACCTGGCGCTTTTAACGCACCGACTCCCAGTGCAAATGTGGAGGAGCAGAGTGCCATGAAGACCGTCGATGTGTGAGCGTTTTGCTGCCACCCGCTAGAAGATGATCCTGCTGCCCTGGTTGTTGTTCAATTTATCTGGAGAACTGCGGCTCGGTGCTGGAAGAGGGCGAGGATTTGATTTAACGGAGAACATCCGCCAATTTCCGCTGTGTCCAAACAACCACGGTTTACATCGCTAACAGAGGAAAGAAGCTGTACCGAGCTGACACCACGACCTGACCCTGGTCCGGAGTGCCTGACCCCAGAGAGGGAATCGCCTAAAGGGTGCGGAAACCAGGTGGAGGATCGACGTTTCTGACCGGGTTTATGAGACCGGAGAAGTGGAAGCCGCAGACCTTTAAAGAGTCCAACATTTATTACCGGTTTGTTGAGGATCACAGTCTGATCAAGCTGCGGCTATGACGCGAAGAGTGCGGTTAACTGCGAGCTGCGGAGCCCTGAAGAACATTTCTAAATGTGGCGGTACAAAGACCACATCCAGGTGGGGCCCCCATGGCACAACAGGCCGTCCGTGCAGCTTTCTGGATGAATGTGGAGACCGGACAAGACCGGACTTACATTCTGGGGTGCCATACAGGCAATACGAAGACAAATCCCACAGAGACCAACATGCTCGCATTGGATCAAGAGACCCGGTGCAACTTTCAAAATAATACCGCAATAAACAAATCAGAATGGAGGGATATTTTCCCTCCTAGTGAGAGGTTGTCGTTTACACTCCCCCATCAAACATGAAGGCAGCTTGTGGAGTTTGTGGAGGAATTTCAGATCAATTCAACAATGCTTCCTTTTTCTCCTAAACGTGCCCCTCCGAAAGACCAACCGCCCAACAAAAGTCCGTCTGCATTTTGGGCTCCGAGGGCAAAAACGGCAAACTCAGACTGTAAAGTCGCCTGGCGGGGCGCCGAAGCTCTCAGTATCTTCTGGCTGGTGTGAGTCCAGAAGCAGCAGATCTGGCCCTAAACTCGGTGATCCGGGCTGGGCCGCCCGTGCTCTGGAGCGGCGGTGTAAGTGGCGGCCCGGAGGACAAACCAACACCCGAGGCCTGGCTAGTGTTTTGCATGCAGCCCTGATTCTCACCCGGAGACCCCGATGTACGATCCGGACTTGCTGCAGTTCCTGTAACATGCTGCTGATAAACGCAAAACAGACCGGTGGCGTCCTGAATTTTGCTTTCCATCTTGCAAATTTGCAAGAAAGTTCCTAACAAATAAAGTATGATATTGTTTTTAAAATCAAAGGAAACCGTCTGAGCTTATTTTAGTTACCCTTCAAAGGAAAATGGTAGGCCATACAACTTGGCATTATATGGCCTATACTGTCGGATTAAATCCACTATAATTCTTCCCCACCCCTGCAAACAAAAAATATTGCAAGATCCCGAGCCCATTGTTTTAAGTTAAAAAGTTAGAGGCCTCCAAAATTCACTCTTGAGGGTAAACAATTCTGCATGCTTTCCTTCCCCTCTGAAACTATGTTCAGCCCAGAGACCTGGCTGCCACAAACCATAAATCCAATTCAGCCTGGCAGTTGAGCATGATAAAAAAACAAAAAAAAAAAAAAAAAAAAAAAAAAAAAAAAAAAAAAAAAAAAAAAAAAAAAAAAAAAAAAAAAAAAAAACCCAAGATAATTGATTTGGACCACTCATTTACCATGAACTTTAGGGTCTACTGGTCCTGGTGCCTCACCTCCTGGAGTTGGGCAGCCCATGTGCCAGGACTAGGAGTCCTTGCTGGCAGTCGCCTATGGGTTTGAGTCTAACGCTGACCCCTTCTGTTGGCAGGTTGCTCTCCCTCTCCTCTCTCTCCTCTCTCTCTCTCCCTCCTCTCCCTATCCCTTTTCCCTTTCTCCCTTTGCTCTTTTTCTTCTCTTCTCCCTGTTGATCTACATCTTGTCCCTATCCCAATAAGAGCAAGAAAGGCTAAAGGAAAAGGTTTAATTAATCTGGAAA